GAGAGTACAGCGGCTCGATTCCTATGATGGCACAGTCTATACGACGTGGAACATCAGCTTCGAGCGTCTTCTGCTGCGAAACCCACTAGCGGCCGATTTCCTTCGTGTCTGCGCCTTCATGCATCACGAGTTCATTTCCGAATTCATCTTCAGAAATGCGGCTGCCAAGCTCCGGCTGTTGACATTTGAGGACAACATTCCGCCTTCGGAGGTCGTGGTGTCTTGGGTCACAGACTTTCTTCGTTCATTCACGACTACCAATGAGAGCACTTGGGACGCCAGTACTTTTTTTCGGGTAGTACAAGATCTGTGTTCATACTCCCTCATGAGTGATTCAGGAGGTAGCAATCTATCCGTTCATCTCCTGGTACAGGATTGGACTCGAAATTATGACATCAATCCAGTCATTCCAAGCTATGCATCATTTCTTTTGGGCCTGTCAATATCACATTCTTATGGCCATGATGGGATGTCAAATTACAATGACGATCTCCGCAGATTGCTTCTACACGCCCAAGAGGTCCAGTGTCATGATAGTCATCTGGAGATAAATACAGCAGCCTGGTTCGGGAAACTATATGATGATAGTGGAAAGTACAAGAATGCGGAAATTATAAAGAAAACAATGATGGATGCGAGGACATCTGCTCTTGGCAAGGAGCATCCTGAAACGCTGAGGAGCATGGGCAACCTTGCATCTACATACCAGAATCAAGGTCGGTGGGCGGATGCGGAGAAGCTGGACGTGACGGTGGTAGAGGCGACAAAGCGTGTGCTCGGCGAGGAGCATCCTGAAACACTGATCAGCATGGGCAACCTTGCATCGACATACATGAATCAAAGTCGGTGGACAGATGCGGAGGAGCTGCAGGTGACAGTGGTGGAGGCACAAAAGCGTGTGCTGGGCGAGGAGCATCCTCATACACTGATCAGCATGGGCTATCTTGCATCAACATACTGGAATCAAGGTCGATGGGTAGATGCGGAGAAGCTGGAGGTGACGGTGGTGGAGGCGATGAAGCGTGTACTCGGCGAGGAGCATCCTGAGACACTGATCAGCATGGGCAATCTTGCATCTACATACCGGAATCAAGGTCGGTGGGCGGATGCGGAGAAGCTGGAGGTGACGGTGGTAGAGGCGACAAAGTGTGTGCTCGGCGAGGAGCATCCTGAAACACTGATCAGCATGGGCAACCTTGCATCGACATACATGAATCAAAGTCGGTGGACGGATGCGGAGAAGCTGCAGGTGACGGTACTGAAGGCGAGGAAACGTGTGCTCGGCGAGGAGCATCCTTCAACACTGAACAGCATTGGCAACCTTGCAACTACATACCGGAAGCAAGGTCGGTGGACGGATGCAGAGAAGCTGCAGGTGACGGTGGTGGAGGCGAGGAAGCGTGTTATTGGAGAGGAGCATCCTTACACACTACGTAGTATGGACAACCTCATCTCAACATATCACAAACTGGGTCGGTTGTCTGACGCAGGAAGGCTCGAGGCGGAGGTAAGGGAGATCAGGAAGAGACTCGTTCCGAATGACCATGATGTATAAATGTGCAGTTGTTCCTCTACTATTGATTCGTATGAGCTGTGTACGGGCTGACTGATGTGATATGTACACTATTTGTACTTGCAGTTCATCATGAATTTGTTCCATAACAAGACCTGTACGTTCAATATATGGTTGTAGATAGATGAATCACAAACGAGCTGGTTTTGAATAATTATCTCTCGTCGCAGGGTATCACTCGCCGCATACAAAGTTCAGTAACCAGTGCGTAGAAAGTGACAGACGTACCTCGCTGGTACCATAACTCCTCTCCGTCTCCGTCGTCGCCACGGTTGCCATCGGTATCGACAGCTCAAAAATATGATCAGACGACATGGAGTACGAAAGTTCACCGGAGTAAACGGAGGAGAGGAAAGACACGTGATAGGTGGAGAAAATAGTATGTGGCGGAATAAGGGTGTCGACTGCAAATCGAGACAGAAAGACTTACAATGCACGAAATGCGGCACCCACAACTGTTCATTCCCTTCCCTAACTTATCTTTGTCTTCGACTACTATCCCTACTTCGATCTCCTTTCTTTTAAGGATAGGAGGAGACGAAGGTGGAATAGTGACTTCCGGCGAGGCGGAGTAGACTGCTCTTCGGAAGAGAGGTGAAACACGATCACCAGATGTACTGGGGTGGGCTCGAGAGACAATGCATGGCAAAAAGCGGTGGGGACCAGTGATCAATGGCGGGATGGCATGGTTGAAGTAGACATGCAGTACCTTTCCATGGTCTCAGACAGACGGGAAATGTTACAAGGACCTAGTACCCAGCACCTGCGTCGGCACCAGACAGAATGCGATAGTCAACCTAGCAAATGCACCTGCCTCCGACCGCCTGTACCGGAGGGTACGAGTGTAGCAGGAGTGTGGCAGTATGAGTGTGATTGCAATTGCGACAAGGGCGACAAGGTGAGTCAGAGTCAGAGTGCGAGCGTGAGCCTGGTCGAAGTTCGCATCCAGAGTTCATTGATTCTCAGTGTCTGTATACGCCGTGTGCTACGACGCCGTCAGGCCAGCAAACTACCATGTATCCGAAGGAACGATCGATAAACAGAACATGAATCCAGTCTGAGACCAGTCGACACGAAGTCGATTCAGCAGAGTCAAATCTGTCCGCTGCAGCCTGCCACACCGTGTCGGTTGATAATGGAACATCAACCACAAGCACAGAAAGGAAAGACAAATACGGTCGACGGTCGACGGTCCTGAGCCTTCGAAGTTGAAGATTGGAGTTGGTGCTGCCGAGAGAAAATGGACAGCTGTCGCGAAACGCTGCGCCTGCTTGCCACAACAGGTCGCTTGAGCCACGGCGCCAAGACGAGCATGACGGTCGCAAGTCAGGTTTCAGAGTCGAAGCAGCTGTAGATGATGTCGAACAAGAAATGAGTTTTTTAAATTCCACTGCGGTCTGCCACAACAGATCGGCCGATCTGCGACATTTACAGGAAGGAAGAAAAGAGAAATAGGGTGACCATAAACCTTGAGAGCTGAGCGCTGAAGGTCGAACCCAGTGCCGTGGAGAAAACAAGGAAAGAGACGCAGAACCGTGCCACAATCATCAATTTCTCGCCTCTCGCCCCGACGATGACGCAATAGCTTCGGATCCTAACAAGCACAAACAAACGCCCAAACCTGCATCGTGATCGCGATTTGTCGTTCGTCCTGTTTTGTTTTTGTCCTGATTTCGAGCCAGGTGCGAGCTTCCGGTATCCAAATGGTCGATTGAGTAGCTTCGTTCTGTGGATCTCTTGGTTTCTTGTCTTGTCTTGTCTTGGGCTAGTGGTGTCTCAGGTCTCTTTCGTTGCGAGAGCTGGGATCGAGCTCGCGTGGCTTGCAAAGACGTGGCAACTTCTGTCCTCTGCGACTCGGAGGTGTTACCCATGTCTATTCGGGCCTTCCTCTCTACGCGAATATTCCCTCTCCCCAAGACCCTGTCCTCTATCCTCCCGCGCTTCATTTCCACAACCACCACCACCACTCCTCCGCGCCCTCCTCGCTACATCCCCTCCCAACTCGACTCCGTCGAAAACCCAGAATCATATCACCCGGGCGGCCTACCTCCGCTCTCCATCCACGATACCCTCCACCACGGACGACATGAGTATAAAGTACTGCATAAACTCGGTTTTGGAGGTTCGTCGACTGTTTGGCTAGCGAGGGATTCGGAAGGAGAGGGGTTGTTTACAATCAAAGCTATGCGGGCGGATGTGCTCACTGGGTCGAAATCCATTGACGACCTCCCCGACGTCCGTATCTCTCGTATTCTCCGATCCACCACCGCCTCAACACACCTCCTCACCCCCCTCTCCGCCTTCACCCACCCCACTCCAAACGGCCTGCACCCCTTCCTCGTCTTTCCTTTCCTTGGCCCGAGCGTGCAGGCTATGTATGATACCCCTGGCCGTGTGCGCGGGAGTAGGAGGTTGAGAGGGGAGGTGGCGAGGAGGGTAAGTAGGGAAGTTGGGGGGGGGCGGTTGGGGGGATGCATGGGAGGGGGGTTGTGCATGGGGGTTCGTCTCTCTTTCTTTACGCTATCGTTCTTCGTCGCCTCTCCTTCGCTCTTGATTTGAACGTCCAGACTGACCGACGGTGCTAATCTCACGGCTAGATATAACCACCTCCAACATCCTCTTCCGTCTCTCCCCCTCCATCCAGTCCTGGTCCGACACATACATCAACGCCTACTTCGGCCCCCCCGAAACCGAACCCGTCCGTCTCCGTCCCCCTCACCAAAACGAACGACTCGGACCCCACGTCCCCGCCGAACTGGTTGCTCCCATCTCAGACCCACTCATGCGCGACCTCATGTACGTGCAGGAAAGTGTTGTGTTAACCGATTTCGGCCAGTCCTACGTAGGCGCGCCTCCGAAAGACTATCAACCCGGCACATCACTAAACTACCTCGCACCCGAAACGTATTTCGACGACCGAACAGGCTTCGAAACGGACATCTGGGCGCTCGGATGTGCGATTTTTGAGATGAGAGCGGGGTTTCCGCTTTTTGAGGCATTTTTGGGAGGTGCGGGGGATGTGGCGCGCGAGTGGGTTGAGGTGCTAGGCGAGATGCCTGAACCGTGGTGGGATACGTTCGATGAGAAGAGGGGTTGGGATGGGGTGGAGGTGGTGCCGGGTACGACTTCGATTCGAGAGAAGTTAGGGGAGATCGGGACGATGGATGAGTCGGATGGGTATGAGGGGAGTATGATGGAGGTGCCGGGGACGAGGTTGGACGAGGACGAAGTGAAGTTGTTGGGTGATTTGTTGGAGGGGATGGTTAAGTGGCGTCTGGAGGAAAGGTTAGGCATAGGGGAGGTGTTGGAGCATCCGTGGTTTACATTTGGGATGTGATAATTGTCGAATATGTTATGTTTGTTGCTTTCGTGTCGCTTTCATGTTTTAGTGTACGCACTGCTACCTACGCCACAACTCAACCCATTCCGATCCTCTGGCCACACCTCTCTCGCGAAATGAGCTCGGTCCAGCCAAGAACGACGTTCGACACCGGACTTCAGGCCCAGTTTCGACTCGGGATATTCCGCCGATAGACCCAATTTCGTCGATCTATTTCGTGAATGTCCTGGCGTCGATAATCGGACCAGAGACCCTCTTTCCGCGGAATATCGACGAACTATCCTTGGGGATGACGTTGACCTGCCTACCGTTGACCATTTTTATTTGACAATTTTCGTCATTTCCCACAATTTTTGTGCAGATCACGATGCCAATATATTTCTCATATTTGTACATGCAGACAGTACTCTACATAGCTAGTGTACACATATCCATCTATTTTACATGTGACTATACAGAATCAAAGAGGGCACTGAGCTCGAGATGGAGTGGAAGTGACTGATGACAAGTGCAGGGCTTAAGGTATATGCTCGAGCCCAGAGGGGACCGAGATAAGTGAGGAAGATGGATATATGCTACATAAAAGTGGTGTACCATGCACACGGAAGACATACCTTGCGTGACGGATGTCGCCTCGTCAACCTGTGATTGATTAAGGGTAGAATCTGCGTCAGCATGTCGAAGCAGCAAGTTTGATAGGACGCACCAGTCGAGCAGGCCTGCATGCTTAACCTCGCCGCCAAACTTCTCTCTGACTGGAAGCCGCATGCCCTAGAGCCGTCAAGTATACACTTCAGATGTAGGTTGAGGGAGCCGGGTAAAGGCCGAAAGAGAGCGGGAGGGACGGGGGTGAGTGGATGCAGCGGACAGGGAAGAGGAGGGGAGGGGAGGTTGCGTGAGCAGGGCCTTCCCTGGATGTATCCGGATGGCATCCGCCATCCGTGGGAAACTTATACGCGGATGTTCAATCCGCACGGATGTCATCTGTACGGTTAATTGACCGTCGACAAGGTTCCAGCGTACTCAGGGTGATGTAGTTATGCTCAGCAGATGAGCAAACTATCTGAGACATTATACAGTAAGATGTGGATGAATTAGTGCTCCCCAAAGAACCTGTACACATCAAACTAGCCGTGCCCTCGTAAAGACACGGCGACCGGAAAATGCCGAAAAAGCGCGATGTTCATCCTTCCTCAGCAGTCTGGAGGCCACTACTGTGTGAGTTTCATACACAATCCTTGGTTGTAAGTTCAGAGAGTGAAAGCAAATAGTATTGTAATACAAGCAGCGAATCTGTACGAGAAAGCATTGAGAATCAGAGAAGGGAAAAAACATTGGAGACGGTCTCGTTAGTCCAGTGAAACCCTCGGCAAATCATGCGCTCGAGTCTCATGCTTTTTGTCGCAACGATCGGCCCTCTTCCTCTATCATCTTAGCTGCAATATCCCAATCAAACCAAGGGGCCTTGTACCACGACTCCATCACCGTGCGCGAGTTGAAAGTCTCTTGCTCCATCGACTCTTGATTCCAGTCGACTTGGTTCCGCCCTCGTGAGAATACAGTCTCGGCATCTACGGAAGTGGCTGCGTGAAACGTCAATCAGCAGCTATGCAGCAACGGGTATCATTTGAGACATACCTGGGGCCGATGTGAACGAAAGACAGAAACGAGCAAGATCCGGAGTAACTTCGAGCTGGGTGTTCCAGTACTGCAGGACCTTCTCACCCGTAAGTAGACTGCCGGTAGTCATTGGTGGAGCGTCCAGGTAAGCTTCGATAGTGTCTGGATTACGATGAACGGTCACTGATGGTCTTTGTGGCGCCCATCTATCGTCATCCTGTGGTCCGGATGAGAATAGTTCAGCTAAATGACAAAGGAGAACGCAAACTTACGGAGAGGCTGTCAGGAAGCGAAGGATGAGCGGCTGGCTGGTTATCGGGGGCAGATTTGTAGTCTTTATTGAATCGAGTGATCACTCCTTCACGAAGCTTGTCGATTTGGTCGTCTGACCAGCCACGATCACGAAACCACGCAAGTTTCCTGTCTGGGCAACATACTGGACGAGTTCTCAGCATCAACTCATGAAGAATTGAGATATACTGACCATTTGAGAACGCGACGGCCTCGCATTCTTGAAACAGGATGAAATACTTTTGGCATTGAAGAAGCCCTGCATGGGCCGCGACTCTACAGACAGGCAGGAGCCTTGCATCGTTAGACATGGACTGAAGGCGAAGCTCGAGGTCGAGGAACACGGGAAGTACGTCGATAATGAGGGTCACATGGGACTGAAACACTGCCATGACCTTCTTGAACGGCTAATCGTCAAGTTAGCGTCAACATCATGAAGCGAAGAAGGGGAAGTCAATTCACCGCTAGCATGTCATGTAGGTCACTTGCAAGTGTCTTCTGCACAGCCGTAAGCTTGAAAGTCTGCAACTTTAGGTCCTTGTCGGCGACGATGATATCTACAGCTTTCAAGAAGGCCCGATGTGAGTTGAGCGTGGAAAATTCTGAGTCCCAGCGGGTCTTGTTACGCGTCGCAAGGTATTTCAAGTCGCTGCCATACTTCGGATTCGGAGGATTCGCCTCAGCAACTTTCCGCCACTTGTACCTTACGACTGCTGAATCTCGGACTTTGACGGCTAAGCCGCTGATCTGAATACAATGGTGCCCAAAGTTAGATATAGTGTGACTCGGTGCATCATAGATTAGGATACATTGAACACATACCTTGGGAAAAATCTTAGTCGCCGCCTTCATCTCTGCATCCGGAATCACTACACCCCGAGCGGCCATCTCCCTTGTCGCTCGCTCGCGAATCATACTCACCACTGCCTCATCGTGGGCAGATTGACCTGCATCGCTCCGCTCTATGATTGCTTTCTCCTCTGCCGTCAAGCTCGCCTCCATGATATCTGCGAGCTCTGCATCCTCGCCATGATATTCTTCTCCTTCAACTGCTGTAACCTCTACATCACGGGATTCAGCAGCGCTAGGAAGAGTTGTTACCGGCCCTGAGCGAGTACGGTCGGAACTTTGAGTGCCGGCAACGACAACAGTCCTCTTCTTTGGCTTGTAATGTGTGTCGAAATAGTCGAGGATCGCCTGTGTATGCCTGTCTGAGCGTTGACCTTGCGTACATGAAGAATGAATCAATGCTGACCTTTACCATAAGTTGCACGGTATGTGCAAAGCAACGACCGCGTGAAAGCTTCCCACGAAACGTTGAAATGTGTTTCGGAAGTTCCCTGGCTGTCATGCACGCCTAGCAACAGGCTGCGAAAAATATGTGTATTCATTTTTTCAAGCCGACCCTATTTTTACGACCTTCAACGCCCGGTTCTACCAGTACTAGCGCTGTAATATTAGACCAATAGCTAGAATACCTAGACTACGATGTCCTAGCTCATAAAACATCGTACCTAGCTAGCCTTTGTCTCAGCCGAAGAACCGTAGACATCGTTCATGACCAACCACATACTTCATACACCTCCTACTACAGCACCAAACCCAGTCATCTCAAATATCACGTCGCACATCCCCTCTAGTCTACCGTTCTTACTTCAAACCGGCCGCTTGATTTAATTCATCACTAAGAACGAGTGAACTGAATTATCAGCGCCTCGGGAAGATTGGGTTATTGCTAGCACTAGACATGCTCCGATCTTCTCGAGTCTCTAAGCAAAGTGATAGCTGGGGACTCCCTCTCCTTGGAGAAATCACTTCCATGGCTATAGCTTCAGTTCTCATCGCTATACTTCATTTCTACGAACTCGATTTCCGCCTGGGCATACTTCCGAAGATCGGCGTGATATTAGGATTGGGTCCAAGCTCGTGATAACACTCCTTCAATCATTTCTACTCACCCTTGGGAGTGCGAGCACTTGTACAAGTCATCTCCAAGAAAAGGACACCCCTATACTTGACTATCAATCGCCGCACTACTAAGGGTACAACCTCTTATGATTTATCACGACCTGTACGAGCCGCCATGATATACTACCAACCCAAAACCCTTGCTTTTACTGTGTTACTTCGTCTGCAGACACAACTGCACCTCCTAGACCAA